AAAGCAACATACATGCAATACTCAGCAAACTGCTTTTAGCTGGCAGCTTGTCTTTTATTTGAAACTGGAAGAGCCTATAAAAACATCTGTCAATGAAAAAGCAAAACTTGTAGAAATAGCCATCACTAGGACTCTATACCTAATGATGATCAATGGTGGCAACATTTTATTTTATTTCCAGGGTCTGCATAAGTAAAGTAGCAGGCACGTCTCATTGTATCATGTTTTAATTACTGATACCCATTGTTTGTTTGTTTTATTTTCCATGATTCGAGGAAAAACCAAGTAATAAAAGTTTTTTCATTTGTTCATTTTCCCCTTGGCATCCTGCTTTGGCCCCACAATCCTTACCTCCCCATCACTAAGAAAATTTTGATGGGAAAATAAAAAGGAATTAGAGAGACAAGACAGTTTTTTTCTGAGAAAAACTGGCAAAAGAAGAAAAGGAGGAGGACATTCCTGACTAAATCTTTGTGGTGCATATACACTCAGAAATTTAAACTTGCCAAAAGAGGAACCATGGGTATTCATTATTTAAGAACCGCTTCAAGTCGTTCTGAGAGCCAGCAGGGTTCTTTCACAGTTGATAAAAGAAACTCGTGGGCAAAACATTTGATGACATGTTTTTTTTCTTGATAAGAAATATATCCTATTTCCACCTTTGTTTTTGCAAAAGTCTGTCACATTTTTGTTCCTACAATATAAATGCAAGAACAAGTTGGGCTTCAGTTGGCCCCAGCCTGTTCTTCTTTCCTCTTGTTTATGGTCTTCGCATTTGTGTTTTTCTGCTCCCTGATTTCAGCTAGAAGAATTGCATGAAATTTTAAGAAAAAACTAGATATGAAAAAGAAGCTTCTTTTGAGAATTTTTTTGGCAAATCCATAATTCCTAAAACTCTTGTACTTTTCTGAGTGATGAGAGCACTAGGAGCATCTGACACAAGGTTCCTAAAGCCTTGGAATTTCCAGGCTGGGCATATCTTCTGTTCTAATGAGGTGGCAACTCTCAGTGGTCTCCTGAATGGGGGCTGGTTGGTCATCAGAAAGTGCAAACCATGATTAGAAGCTTGGCATTTTCTTTCTTTCTTTCTTTTTTTTAATCCTCACCCAAGGACACTTTTTTTTGGGGGGGGGGGTATTTATCTTCAGATAGAGCAGAAAGGAAAGAGGGAGGAATAGAGAGAGAGAAACATCTTGCCACCCACACAACCCCAACTGGTCCAGAGACAAACTGCAACCGAGGTACGTGTCCTTAGCGGGAACTGAACTTGGGCCTCTCTGGACTGCAGGCCAACACTTTCACTGCTGAGCCAAACCAGCCAGAGTGAAGCTTGGGATTTCGATCCCACTTCCTCATTCCCCAGAGACATGAGAGGGCCTGGAAATGGAATTGATGATCGATTATGCCTACATAATGAAGCATCTACAAACATCCTGAAAGTTTATGGTTCAGAGAGCTTTGGGGTTGGTGAACACATGTAGGTGCTGGGAGATTGTTGCATCCAGAGAGGGTCTGAATGCTACACACCCATCCCACACACCTCGTCCCTCCCCTCCCCTCCCCTCCCCTCCTCTCCTCTCCTCATCTCTGTGTTCATCTCTTTCCTTTATCTTATCCTTTTATAACAAACTGGTCCACTGTTTTGTATTGCTCCGGAGAGGCTCTAGAAAATTAACCACACCTAAGGAGGGGTCCTGGGAAGCTCCAATTTATATAGAGCCCAACGGTCAGAGGCAACTGGCATTGGAAGTGAGGGGGCGGTCTTGTGAGACTGACCCATTAACCTGTGGGATGTGGCACTGTCACCAGGTAGAGTCAGAAACGGGCTAAATTGTGGAACCACCCTGCTGGTGTTGCAGAATTGCTTGGTATAAGAAAACCTCCACACACCTGGTGACAGAAGTGTTGTAAGAGTGGCAGTAGTGTGAGAGTAAGGGAAAGACACATAGGAGGAGGACTGAGTCTCTCTTTATAGTTTCTGAAGCCCTACTGTTTGCGTACAGCATGAGCTTGGGTTTCAGGCATTACTTCAATGGGTCTGCTTTAATTGCCTGAATAACTTCTCAACAGCAGTCATGATGAACCCACAGCTACCGAAAATTTACCTAAATTTTCAAAGTCGATACAATGTCAATAGAACTACTTTTGAAGTACATTTTTATTACTGAAGCTTTTTGTTATGAACTGAGTTGTTTTTTTTTTGTTTTTTTTTTTTTTTGCATTTTAAAACCATCTGGAATAAAAACCTAGTCCCAGTTAAGGAGAGAATTAGACTTAAAATGAAGGAGGATGGTGCTCAGATTTTTGTAGGAACCAATGTATAATGAGGGACAGGTTCAAAACTCCAGTTTGAACTGGGGCTATGCTGGAACCTCTACTGGGATGTGTTACTTCAGAGTCTTTGATAGATGATCCAATGCAACTCTGACCAAAAGAACACAGCTTTTGTAATCACATCACCCTTACATACTCTAGAAGGGCTTCTTACTTTATCACATTGTGTTAGCAAACAACAATCATAACTTTTTAGAGATCGTTTTATTAAAATTATAAAATGAGACTTTTTTCACCATATATTCCCGAGTTTACATTCTTGCTATTATAGTGGCCTAAGGTGAGATCAAATTAATATGGTGGCCCAGCTGGGTAGGGCAGGCTGTGCTGGGACAGTGGGGATGACGGCATCCCCCTCAGCCCGAATCTGCAGTCCTCTGTGGAGAGTGGCCAGGAAGCAGCGGGAAAGGAAGAGAAAGTGCTGTTGTGTGAGCACCTCCCTCCTGCACCCCACACACCCCACCCTCCTCTTAGCTCTTGTTCATTTCCTCCCAAATCTTGAGATGCATGAGGAAAGAGATTAGTATGTTTCTAGAACATAGTGCTGAATCAGCCTACACAAAATTAATGCAATTACTATGTTGATTTCCAGATGTTAGCTTAATGCCGGCCTATTACAATTTCTAAAGATGAAGATTAAAACAAACAAACATTATGAGCAAACACTGAAATAAAGACATGTCAGCAAATTCAGTGATAATTTGAGGCAACAGAGAAAAACCTACAGATGGGGTATTTCGGAAATCGATTTTTTCCATCCCTGACTGGGGTAGACAGAATTCCCTCACCCTCTCCAGTCTTCCTTCCAGAGAGCCTCCAGATTCCTCCTGTCTCAGCCCTGGGCCCCCTTCCAGCTGTACCTCTCCCCACCCGCCCTCCCCATCACACCTGAAGCTTCAGCTACATCCTCCTGACGTCCTTGCTGTGCTCACCAGACCTGGCACCAAGGGCTGGTTTCTTAATTGGAGTTCTGAAATTCAAGAGAAACACCCTCTTTTTATTTAAAAGTATCTCTCCTCTTCTTTGCCTCCCCTGAACCTCACGTGGTAGTGGGCAGGGTGGGCCAGCAAGGCCCACAGCCCTGGCCCAGGGCAGGCCTCTGTAGTCCTGGTCCACTGCCTGGAGCAGGCTCCTGATGCTGGAGGAGCTTTGGTTTGCTCCTTTATAAATGTTCAGATAATAACACCCTTTTCCTTTGATTGAAAGAATAAAAGAGAAAATTCACATACATAGATGCCTGGTAAATTATAAGACTCAATAGAAGGTATTATTATTAACTTTGGGTCCTTTGCTACATTAAGTTTTCTAAGCCTTTCTGTCTCTATTTGTGACTGTTTCATAGAATGGCTTGATTTTACTTTGTCCTAATGCAGGTTTCTATTAAATTTCTGGGCTCCTAGAAAGTAAGATGAACAAGAACTCAAAGACTAGTTACAGTTCACCGTCTCATAGTCTGGAATGTTTGGTTCTAAAACACCACAGAAAAGATCAATGTAGTACTTTTCTTTAAATTTTTTTTGTATTGCAAAATTATCTTAAGTTTAATCTTACTATTCTTATTTATAGTCCTTATACTGGGCTAACTAAAATAAGCACTGATAACACATCTTTTTGAGAAGTAAATGAAATTAGCTTCTTCAATACTTTAAACAAATCCAAGGTTAAACTGAAATTCAGTCCCGACTTATTCATGTCTATTCTCCCTCTAAGGTAAAATTTAGTAGTGGTCAAATCATTATAATTCGGCAATCTTATTCTGCATGGCAATCTAAAGATAGAAATGTAAAAACTTATAAAAGCTTAAAAAAAGTATGACTATTAAAATCGATGTATACAACTATTCATACATCCTTATTTATTATTAAGGTATATAATTGCTTTCAAACTTATTTGTGATTATTTTTCAATGCATATTTTACAATAGTTACTATTAACTATTAATAGTTACTATTGGGGGAAAATTCTTGGCTATTTGCAGGTCATAGATAAAAGTGTATCCACCAGGTCCAGTGATATAATAATAAGGCTGTGAGGTATACCCTCCAGAGATGTACCCTAAGGATTTCAACTGCAATTGCCCCTTATATTTTTTTTCCTTTTTTTACATTTACTCTCGGAAGCCATGCTTTCTTGTTTAAGATATTTTAAGTTTAGCCAGAACATCTTACCGGGCCATTTGTGGTAGTTTTCTTTTCTTTCTTTCTCCCTTTGCTATTATTAGAGTTGTCTATGTTTACTACTTTTATCTTTCCCGTGACACTTTCCCAAAGAACATATATCTGTTTGTAATTCTCTTGAATTTCTCAGGACTAGCATTATTTAGGGCAGCTATATCTGGCCTATTCCAGGTTCCAGAGCAGTACTCTATTTAGATTCACAGAGGGGTACAAGGAATTTTATCAGAAATTCAGATAGTGAGCAACTGTACACTTCTGACTATACATGCATTTCCTATTTCCTGCTGAATTCACACACTTTAAGCTTCTTTGTGATTTAATCATTCACTTTGTTTACTGTAAGACTATAAAACAGAAAAGTGAGACTCGGGGCCCTGAATTGTCATAGGATGCTGTAAGTGAAAAAGTTATCTGGTCATGGCTCATCATTCTTCCAGATATTTGTAAAAGAGAAACCAAGCTGTACTGTTGGTGGGTCTGAATGCTTACCTTGCCTGACAGCCAGTGTGGTGGTATAGACCAAGAAGAGAAGGATGTAATTCAGGAAACTCTGGAAGACTGGTGTATTGGCATGGAAATCTTCGGACAGGTACTTGCTGGTCAAGCCAATTCCACAAATAAGGAGGGATAACACCTGGCCCAGAGCCACAGAGATTAACATCTCCCTAAAAGATAAAGAGAAACAGGCAAAGATTAGCAGGAATCCATTAAAACAGCACTTAAAATTCCTTGAGCACTTGTGCTCTTCACTGGGCTAAGTGCAATAACTAGGATTTCTTTTAATCCATCACAGCAATCCTATGAGGAAGGTGCAATTGTTACTGGGGTTTTACAGGGAGGAAATCTAAAGCTTAGAGGGTTAAGGAATTTGTTCCCAGTTGCATAACTAGGAAATGGCAAAACTAGGTTTTTATTCCACATGGTTTTAAAATGCAAAAAAAAAAAAAAAATTTCAGTTCATAACAAAGAGCTTCAGTAATAAATTTTATAGGAAAATAAAAATGTACTTCAAAAGTAGTTCTATTGACATTGTATCGATGGCCTAAGTGCGTCCCTCCGCTACCACTGCCTCTGATGTTGCATTCCCTGTTCCCCACGAATACCCCCACCAATTCGGAGCTCCAGGCCTCCAGAGCTACTTGCCCTTCAGCAACCAGGCATGGTCTTCTCTGCCTGCATTCCTTGGCACGTATTATTTCCACAATGTTTGTCCTGCCCTTGTCAGTCGGACTCCCATTCAGCTTTTGAGATCTGGCTTTTGTCACCTCTTTGAGAAGTCTTCCCTGCCCTCTCTACACTGCAATGCATTTCCTTTGCTTCTATATTACTGTATTGTAATTACTGTGTCTATACCTTCTACTGCCCCGCCACCCCTGCCACCAGACTGTGAAGTTTGTACAATGTTCTTGATGGCACCTACAGCGGAACCACACCACTCAGAGGAAGTAAAAAATGGGGGAACTCAAAGTGCAGAGGTAGCGTGGGTAACACTGAATGGTTTTGCTGAAATGAAGGCTAATTTTATTTAAAGGAAGAGGTAAAGAGAAGTATTAGAATTAACCTAAAGGTTTTTAAGCCTGCCTAAGAAAAGTGTTATATACCCATCAACAAAAATCATAATAAAAACAGAGAATAAACTGATGGTTGCCAGATGGGAGGGGTGTTGGGAGGATGAGTGAAAATGGTGAAGGGAGTAAAAGGTCCAAATTGGTAGTTACAAAATAGTCATGAGGATGTAAAGTACAGCATAGGGAATATAGTTAATAACATTGTAATAACCATGTATGGTGTCAGGGGGGTACTAGACTTATCGGGGGATCACATTGTAAGTTATATAAATGTCCAACCGCTATTTTGCACAGCTAAAACTAATATAATATTGAATGTCAACTGTACTTGAAAAATAAATTAAAATATCATGATAAGGAGTTGGTTTTAGTGGGAAGAAAATACATGTTTTTGGTATATGAATTGGAGCTGCCTGGTGAACTTCCAAATGATCCAGCAGACTCAGAATCAAGGTATTAAAGCTGAATAGGAAGGTCAACCAGGAGATTAAAGTGGAAAGTTATACACATAAAGGTGGCTAAAGTTCTGGGAATGGATATCCCCAAAGCATGAAGAACAGGAGAGAGAATAAGAAGATTGGGCTAAGGGAGAAAGAAAAGGCACATTGCTGGAGTCAGGAGTGGTTAGAAAGCTCGCGAGAACAGCGTAGTCCTTGGGGTCAAGGAAACGAAGGGAGCAGACAGTTTCAAGAGGGAATAGTTGTAATATTAGATTTTGCTTAGAGGGTAAGGAGAATGAGGACTGATAGGAGATGGTCTGTAGTCATCACTAGCCTTGAAAACTCAGCTTTGGCTGAATGAAGAGCACCAGAGCAATTCTGTTTCACGCAAAGCCAGGGAACAAAGACTCACGCAGGGGATAGTGAGTGGTGAATAAGTGGGCAGAGAGTGTAAGAAATAAAGGTGTTGACTTTGAAGAATTTTGAAGAATTCAAAGATGTCCTTGAAGAAGTTTGATTTAATCACCATATAACACAATAACAATGATAGTTAAAATAATAAAGTGTGGAATGATTTAAAATTTAGTTTACACTGGATTCATGATTATCCTTTCATTGGGCGACTTGGTTATTTGCATAATAACTTACACCCTGAAGAGAAATGGGGAGAGTTACAGCCAATACTCCACACAGTGCTCCCAACGCTGGTTATGTGCACCGGAGAATGCTGCAGATGGAGTGTCTCCTTGGGAAAAGAAGGTTGAAAACTACTGCTATGACATGGTCATCGCTATAGCTGCTGAAATGACAACCATGATATCTTGAAATTTTGGCAGTATTCTGTGCCTTTCCTAAGCAAAAGCAAGCCACCAAAAATGACAGATCACTTACATAAGAAAAATAAATGTTAGTCCTTGTGATATATATGTGCTGTTGTACTATAAAACAGCCTTCTACATGCCAGGCACTACATATGCAAAGATGAATAAGACAGTCTTTGTCATTGGAACCTACTAAACCAAGGTGGAGCTGAGTTCTCGAATACCTTACTACAAAATGGAGCCAGTTAAGGTGAAATAATATTAATTCATATTTTATAAGTTTTTACTATGTGCCAAGTGCTGGGCTTAGACTTATACATACTATTTTATTTAATGCTAACAATAACCTTATAAGGCAGATATTATCTTTGTTCCATTTAAGTAAACTGATGCTTAGAGAGGTTGAACAACCAGCCCAAGGTCACAGAGCCAGCAAGGGGAAGAGTTTTGGAAACTGAATCATATGATTTCAAATCCCGACTTCTTAATTACTATGCTATACCATCATCATGCCGCTAAAATAGTACTCTTTGCTCTCACAGAGGGCACAGAGCACAGTCCTACAAACCTAAGTGGCTGATTTTCAGAAATATTCTGGGGAAGGTGAAGCCAAAAAAAGCCTGCCAGACTGACTGATGAAAACTCATGCACCAAGACATATGTAATGTGTGTCTTTCAACAAAAGGTCAGTAAAAGCCTCTTCTTGTTTCTTCAGTCAAACAAAACAGCAAATCTGCTGTATTCGATTTCTGGTTTTAATTAGTGGTCATGTCATTCACCTGGTGCTATAATTTGGGAGAAGATGCAAATTATGATTTTATCCATCACGTTAATAAACGTGACTTGTAAAACAGAAAGGAATGGAAGGGACCTTTTATCAGATTAGTTATGAGTCCTTTCCCAACTGTAGGGAGATATACTGTAGCTGTTGTTGCAGTCTGCACATCTGAGCTAAGTTACTAGTCACCACAGCAAAATAAATGAGTAAAATATAAATAAACCTAGATGTTGACACCCTGCTAATCCCACATTCCTACTGCCTCTACCTTATTTGTCATCAAACTCCCCTTTGTTCTCTTTTAACACAGGACAAATCCTTCATAGACTGTTCTCCCTACCGCTCTCTCTGTTTTAGGATCTTTTCAGTTCAGTTACTATTGCCTTACCCCTCTGAACTTTTTTTCCATAGGTAACCACCAAAGTTGATCTGCGGTCCCTTCAACCTAACTCCTCATAATCTGAAAGTGCCATCCTCTCCAGAAAGCCTCCCTCAACCACTCCTGTTCCCCGAGGCTGAGTGTCCTCATCTGTGCACTCCAATCTCTACTTGTACCCATCATATTGCACAACTCATGAGCTCCTGAAAATAAAATAGGTGTTCTCTTCACTTGTATGTTTCTGGTACTTTGAAGATTGCTGGTTGGAAAGGAAATCAATGCTCAACAAATACAGAATGAATGAATGACCAAGTTGACAAGCAAACAAATGTATAAATGAAAAGAGTGATGTCTTAGAAGATTTGAAAGATGGCTGCTTATCCTTTATTGAAAAACTACTAGCTCTAAAAGACAAAAACAACCCTATTTTCACTGTATTTCATCTGCCAGTTAGACACTGAGATTAATAAGCTATTTTCCAGTGCATTTCTGAACAAGCCTGGTAAGGTGCTATCTTGCAAAAATGATGCTAAATATGGTATGGGATGAGATTTTGCACAGCAAGCTGCTGGTTATTCATGTAGTATATAGAATAGCACACCAGATGCATTCTAACATAAGATACACAGTTCCTATAATTTTAGTAGCAGAAATGGAGAGCAGACTATGATACACATTTTCATCTTCTTTGTTTATCCATTTAAAAGGACATCCTACCCACTTTAAATTCACAATGACTAGACAATGAAAAATTCATGAGTCCCAGAAAAAATAGTTCTGTAGGAAGCCGAATACCTGTTATAACAGAGCTTGTATTCATAAAAGCTGGCATAACCATTATTATAAGCACTTTGTGCTTTTAAATAAATATAATTTAAAATCATGTGAATAAACTTATGATTTACAAATCAGATATTCAAAATAAGAAGATTTAAAATAAAACAAGTTGAATCTTGTTTTCTTCCCTTTGTTATAAGAATATGTTCCTTTAAAAAGGTATAAAAATTTTCAACATAGAGTTACATAATCATATTGCTTTGTAATTCTTTAGCATGAGAGTGAAGCAATTATGTCATTATCTTGAATTAGAGCATGTCACCCTTTCTGTAGAGACATCTTCATTCTGATAACTATTCTCTGGCAAGTCATGTCAGGTCTGAGTCAGCGCATGAATTCAATATGCATACATAAGGAACAAAAGTATACTGCTTTGACTAAAAACAATACCACCTGGCCCGGCCAGTATTGCTCAGTGGTTAGAGCATTGCCTTTGCACTGAAGGGTCACAGGTTTGATTCCCAGACAAGGGCACATACCTAGGTTTCAAGTCTGATTCCTGGCCCCAGGCAGGAGGCAACAAATTGATGTGTATGTGTGTCCCTCTCTTCACCCCTTCCCTTCTTCCCACTTTCTAAACATCAATGGAAAAAATATCCTCCAGTGAGGACTAACACAATATCAAATAAAATAAATACCTCCTGAACATGGGAGAAACATGTGTTCTCCTACATTTTGACAAGATTTCTGTTTTCAGAAGTTAGAACATTGGCTTCTTGAAGCTCTGAGCTGAAAGGTTTGACCACATTTAAGTATGAATTTGACTTCCATGTAAGAAGATTACTAGGCAAGAAGCAAATACATATCTCCAGAGGCTGAACATTATTGGAGTTTCTTCACCT